TGCAGGGAAGCAAGAAAAGAGAAGAAACCGTTAAGTCTTGGTTTTCATGGAAATATCGTAGATCTTTGGTAAGAACAAGAAGTTTCTGTTGGATATCCCCTGGATACCTCGAGGATACATGTTTCTCATAGTTATATCTCTGAGAAAAAATTATTTCCCAGGAATTTCGGAAACGTTTTTTGTTTCCCAAGTCTACTTTTTGTTGCGGAAGAAATGTCATCTGGTTTGCCACTCTCCAAACAACCGATATTTTCTTTTTCTACAGGGAAAGGCTTGCAAGCGAGGATGAGATGTTGGTAGACATGGGTTCAGATCAAACCTCACTTCACAATCCATACAATGGCGGCTACTATCCAGCTGGGCTCACTTTTGAAGAAGCCAATCAATTGATGACGAATGATGCGGGGAAATTTAAGGATACTGTTCAAACGAGGTGAAGTTCGGGCCATTGAAGGCACACAGTGGTTGGCGCATGTGCGACCGGCCAGGTTTTAAATTTGTAATCCCCGCTTACACATTGAATGATTTCGTTAATACAAGAATTAAATCACTTTAGTTTAAAACGACAAGTGGCCGCCATTAATAAGTTATCATCGCGAGGAATGTACTTCTTTGATTATGGAAATGCATTTCTACTGGAAGCAAGCAGAGCTGGTAAGTGTTATAAATAGAATGAAAAGAGTACTAGTTGAAGAGTGTTTCTTAACACGTAGAAAATATTTGATGTTAAGGTGCTGATGTTGGTCTAAAAGAAGATGGAACATTTCGGTATCCTTCTTATGTGCAGGATATAATGGGGTATGTCCCTGAAATATTTCATTGAAGTATAGGATAAATATTTTTTTCAATCTTTTTTCTTTCAGTTTATTTTTTTCAATCAATGCATTGTGCCTTCTTTACATGCTTCCCTTCTAGTTTTCCCTGCCTCTTCGTTTGTATTTCTGTGGTAACTTTCATTGACTTTACATCGGAACTTAACATCCACTAATCTTATGTGTTTCAGCAATATATTCTCACTTGGGTTCGGACCGTTCCGGTAAGTAGACACGTATTCTCACTGAATCAATTCTAAGAAGTTTTATGTCAAAGATAAGTACAGCATAGTTCTTGGAATTTTGTTAAGGTGGGTTTGTACGTCAGGATTTCCTGAAGATCTCGTAGTGTCAGATAAAATTGCCACAGACGTTTTGGAACACATCATGAAACAAGGAGGTGAGATCACTAAGGTACACTGAGCGAATCACAGGGCTCCGTTGGTTTGAACCTGACGTCATGGCAGCCATGTTGGAAGAACATTAACAAAATAATACCATTAGCAGCTATTGTGTTTGTTGCGTGCTTTCTACGTCCTCCAATACGGCTTGATGACAACTTGCGACAAGGTTGATGAGCTCAACAGACTTGTTACAAGTTGTTCCAACAAATAACAACATTGTTACAACTTGTTGACAAGCTTGTTGATAAGTTGTGAGGTTTTTACGTGTGATACAAGAGTTCATATTTTGCATTCTGTGTCTAGTTCCAAAAGAGGTGAAACCACAGTATGAAGACAACATTAAGTGGATTAAGAAAGCTCAAGAAAATAAGCTGGTTGTTGGCTCACAAGCTCGTATTTTGTATTCTGATCAAAACGGAAGAGTGGCAATCGCTCTGGCATTCAATGAAGCGATTGCAGACAAGAGAATTAAAGTAAGTGAAGAGAAAGTGAGAAGGAAGATATTCAACAGGGTACTCCACTTCGCATTCATAAGAATTAGCTATTATCAACTGAAGCCCTTAAGAATATGAAGAAATATCTCTCCTAGCTTGCAGGTAGCTCGGATCCCCTAGTAATTGGGCAATAGCCTGTTAACCTTATATTTGGCGTTTTCTTCTTAGGGTCCCATCGTTGTAAGTCGAGACCATCATGACGTCAGCGGGACAGACAGGTAACTATAGCAACAGTATACCTTTCATGATCACCTCGATGACCGGGCAGTGTATGGCAGTGTATGCATGGTTCTATTACTGCAATATATTAACATTCTACGTAGGCTAGCCAGTTAGAAAAACACGGTTCTGCACAAGCTTGTGAGTACAAGCAGTTTTCCTGCTCAAGTCATCGTCGAAATGTTTCATTGCTTGTTTCTTTGTTTTCCAGCCCATACCGAGAGACATCAAATATTTTTGATGGGTCGAATATTTGCGCAGGTAAATTACAGTATTTCATGAATTTGATTGAACATTATTCATTGATGATTGTAATAAAACAAATCGATATGGTATTTTTAAGACATGGCTGTACAAAACGTCATCGGTGATTCATTCCGCGGCGCAACTTGGGTGAGCCTGCACAATGGTGGTGGCGTTGGTTGGTAAGTGATGGTATTTGACGTTTCACTTAAGTATTCCCCTTCCTCTCTGTCACTCTCCTCCTACCCTACCCCCTCCTCCTACCCTCCTCCTACCCTACCCCTCCTCCTACCTACCCCCTCTTCCTACCCTACCCCTCCTCCTACCTACCCCCTACCCCCTCCTCCTACCCCAGTTACAATGCTGCCTATGTTTATGTTTATTTTTGGAACCAGGGGCGAAGTTACGAATGGTGGGTTTGGGCTCGTTCTGGATGGCTCAGAGGTACTGTATTATCACCACTGATGATTATCACTAATAAATAAGTTTTTCGTTAACAACCCTGGATTAAACTAACCAACTTTTGTCCAACCAGGAACCAGCCCCATGAATGATGTCGTTGTTCTTTGTGTTTAGGATGCAGCAAAGCGCGCCAAAAGTATGTTGTCGTGGGATGTATCTAATGGAGTAAGTTGACATATGTTTAATTTTATTCTCGAATTTACTCAAGACTTGGGTTCTCCATCGTTAAACATCGTAAAGGCCTGCTTCCACGGGCGCTTTCTTCGGCGAAATGCGGAAAAAAATTTTGAGAAAAAATATTAAAAATTACAGAGAAAAAATTTCGAAGAAAAAATAGAAAATATTAATATATTAAAAATTCGCTCTTCACCAGTAAGTAGAAGTCAGTTCTAGTCACTGCGAAAGCGGAAAAATTCAATGGAATCGCTCATGTGCAACCGTCCGTATAAACTTTCTTTACAGTCGTTTATTTGAATGATGTTATTCTGGCCATTGTCGTTACATTGCCGTCCTACACACGTAAAAATCTCACAACTTGTCAACAAGATGTGTTCGCAACAGGCTTGTAGCAAGCTTGTCAACAAGTTGTAACAATGCTGTTATTTTATCAAGTTGCTACAAGGTTGTCACTCGCAACTTGTTGAATTGCAGGACGATAACAAGTTGTTGGAACAACTTGTAACAAGTCTGTTGAGCTCAACAATCTTGTAGCAAGTTGTCAACAAGCCGTTGACAACTTGTCAACAAGCTTGGAACAAGCAGTGCGAACACATCCTGTTGACAATTTGTTGGAACAGCATTGCTACAAGTCTGCTGCAGGTTTGTTACAACTTGTGCGTTTTTACGTGTGTAGATCGTAAGGTCTCTAATGTCACATGCACAAAAACGAGGCTGAATAGCCAAAGTAACTTACGAAGGGTGTATTCAGTTATGTTTGGTCACTTCTGTGCCGCGTACATCAAAATCGATCGCAATTTTTCTGTTCTCATAGTTCCAGGCCCTAAAATGTATTCAATTTGTTCCATTTAAGGTGGCTAGACGATGTTGGAGCGGCAACGACAACGCCAAACTGACCGTCGGCAGAGCAATGGCGGCAGAGAAGAGACTGAAGGTCACTGTACCCTACACAGTTGAAGATGAGAACCTCATCAGACGTGCATTGGATAGTACAGGAGTAACAAATGGGAGCTCATGAAATGAAAAACTGAAATATATGAATAATCTTATTCCTTTGCGGGATATACTATAGAAATAAATTATTATTTCAAGTGAACTAATTTTGACTTTCAGTAAAAGATATCTATTTTGCATATAAAATGTGAGAGAAATGTGCGTTTTGTAGTATTTAAATTTGACTATGTTGTACCAAGGCTATAAATTAACAGAAATATTTAAATAAACGCAATTCATTTAATATTTTCATTCATTTCGTGTCTATCGAATTTTGTAGATTTAGGAACTCCTTGACCTTGTATAACACTGACGTTGCCATCACCGGATGTAATCACCAGATGTAATTATCACCGGATGTAATTATCACCCGATCGGTGATGGTAATGTTCCATTGTCTCTTCATTGTTTGGAAAATTCCACTGTTATAGATTTAGGAACCACTTGCATGACACTATACATTGCCATCACCGGGAGTAATCACCGGATCGGTAATGGTAATGTTCCAATGTCTTTTCATTGTTTTGAAAATTCCACTGTTCTCCATGCCATCCATGATTCGCTCATTGTTTTGACTTATTTTAGCGTCAAGTCGTAAAACCTTTGATGTAACGAATACAAAACACTTCATGTAACTACAAATATTGCGGTTGCCAAAGAGTATTTTAATAAAACAAAATGAACGCGCAAGCATCTAGCTTATAAATAGTTGGCTTTTCGAAATACGAGGCATTCGTCTGAAGATGACTTAAATTATAGTCGAAACGTAAATAATTAAAAATGTTTACAATTTTCGGAGTGTCTATTTGTGTTTTATTAACTATAAATAGATAATTATTTTTTGTCCAAATTGGGAAAATGCCGTAGATAATTATGTTCAATATTATTCAGATAAAGTTTTGTTTTGTCTTGTGATGTCAAAGCATGAATATAGAAATTTGAAACTAAATTTGTGATACCATGGATATTGGAGACAAAGTTTGGTATCGCTTATATTCGCTGCGTGAGTTTGTTAGTCTGTTCGAAATCTTAAGTCTTCATATTTACTGGCGCTTGTGGTGCACTTGTCTTGCGCATGCTCCATGGCACCGCACAGCTGCAGTACAATGTCTGATTTTTATCAAACTAACTAATTACGTCATCCCATTGGGAGAGGCTTAATAATAACACAAGTCCACTTTATCTCCAAGATTGAACACCTGGTCAAAAAAATTTACCAAACATTGTTTTGAAACTAGAAGCTAGGAATGTAAAACTTAAACCGTATAAATAAGGAACAGGTATGAGGACCGTCATATCGTGTGGTGTTTGGTAGGCTCCGTATATACAATTTAATCTTTGGCACTTTTGCAGAAATTGTTCAAGAAATGAAAGGTCTTGTCGTGTTTGTACTTGTTCTGTTCTGTCTTGGTTTGGTACCAGAAACAGAAGCAACGGTAAGTGTATATGACAGTTTACAGTGAATTAAATTAAGCAATATCGAGAAATGTCTGTTGACGCTTACGGCAACCCATCAATTGAATAAGTTGAATCTCTTTCACGGCTTGTTTGCACTTGCAATTCTCGCCGAGATTTCTAGTGAGATTTTCTTCTGCATGTGAACGAGCGCATGAGAATTTTCCGAGTACATGCATGTACCACTCTCATCTGAACATTCATAACTCATCCACTCGTTCACATCCATCAGAAGGAGAAAAACTAATTTTCTTCCTGGGAGCACAACCTGGAGACATACATTTCCTGCAGACCAACGGAGTATTTTTGTGCTAAATCTGCATCTGCAGACTAGGTGATTTGGGGGCGGGGCGGAGGATGCGCGAGGGAAAAAATAGAAGGCCTAGTGGATTTCCCAACAACAAGGCCAAAACTGCCGTGAAACTGCCCTGGTTGCGAAATGCCCAATTGTTGCGTTCTCAAACAGAATTATTTGCAACTTAACAGCGAATTTAAACCGATACAGGTAAAATAAACTCATTTATAGTATAAACTTACTATTTTTATTTGTATACACGCCTAGAAAATCGGGTTTTTTATCATAAAGTTTGAAGCAACGCTATTATTATGTTGCGAAAGGTCAAAATGAGTCAAAATATTACTACAAAATAGAACTTAGTTTAGTCATAAAATGTTTTTATAGTTAATGTAATAACTACTGGACAGTATAAATTGCTTTAGTTGTTGGTTTCTGATCAATTTCGGATCACAAAGTTATGGGGCTAATTTGAGAACTTGTGAAATCTACTAGGCTTTCACGAGGCAAATGACCATTGCGATAATTACCAGCCGAGTAAAGGCCTAGGTCTAGGCTGTGTCAACCATATGTTGTTGCGCCCAAAGTGGGACAATGGTTTTCAAGCACAAATCTTCATTCGAATTTCCTGCAGCTGTTTAACATTTCTTGCGAGCTCGCCTATATTTTCCAGCCCTGGTCAACGGACCTTTATTTCTTTCTGTTTTATCTATTATATAGCTACTTGACAGACAGGTAGAAAGACAGCGTTACTTGGGAAGAAGGCCATATTGTGTTCCTAAAGGAGGATACTGTTTGACAAGAAATGACTGTTGTCTTAAGCCGTCGAAAAGATTTAAATATAAATGTGCCCACTGGCAAGTAAAGTATGTTGGAGTAATTCACCATATATTTTATATGAACATAAATTCAGAAGTTCAATGACCAGTCATGTATCTATGACAGTAATGTGCAGTTCAACTGCTGGTATGAAGACATGAATGATATTTTGATCATGAATTTTTAATGATGCGAGGAGAACTCTAAAACATAAATATGGATGAATATAAATAAACAGAGAAATGTTTTTCGTTCTTCATTTCAGCTACAAGAAAAGAAATTGCTACTGAATCTCGATGAGAACCACCAGAGACCCGAAGATGAAAGACAGGAATAACAATACGAACATAATTAAAAATTGATTTGTGGGAATAATTTTAATTCATTGAAATGACTCTTAGTTTGAATATATATATCATCTATGAAGTAAACACAATTATTTAGTATTTTTACACAAATGAACATAACAAATCCTACACGTTGATTGGTCAAATTTGACGTAATAAGCTGTTATATTCACCTACAGGTGAATATAACAAAACAGAAATTTTCAAAATGGCGGCTAACCCGTTTTGTGGAAGTTTACTGACAAAGAAATAAGCGAAATTAAAATAAATTCAGTCTCAAAAAAACACAAAAGCTTGTGTAAAAATACTAAAACAATTATTCGCCTCAGGCTCGGTGATTATCGGGAAATTTTAACCTCGATTTCGTCTCGGCGAATATTCCCCGATAAACACCTCGCCTTCGGCGAATAATTGTTAAATATTACAACGAATTTAATGAATAAATATTTACATCGGTGCATATGTGGGTGCATATTTGTTTATTTATTTATTTATTTATTTATTTACTAAGCTTCCTCGTCCAATAATACTTATACAGTCACAAGAACAAAACGGCTCAGGAATATCAACACAGCGTGAACCAATAACGTTGATGACTACATTCAATGTACACGATATAAAACATACATGCATGTACACACAATACACTCATTCGACAACCACGTCACAAATTCTTCGCCAGCGCGGGAGCCCCACTCCGATGAAATATGAGCGAACAGCCTTTCGAAAAGTTTGTGACGCATCCCTAGCCCCCATGGTTTATACCCCTTGTCCCCAGAAGCTGATGATGGTTCTCGATGAGTTTCCATCCTGCATTCTTTAATAAGTTGCTGTTTCAACCTTCTGACGTCGAGAAATAAACGAATTCGATAAGACAATGTTCGGCCATTATTCTGAGATGCCGTCCTTCATAAGACACTTTGTTCACTTTTTAAATGGTGTGGTTCTTAGAAGGGCTAATACGAAGCCAGATTTGCAATCCTATTTCACTCAGAGTGTATCGCCGTTGAGATCCCATCCTTCTTCTTGTTAAAAAGTTCCTCGCAGCACTGACATGATCAGAGGCAGCCTCAAAAGAGTAACTTGGAGGCATCTTCTGTTCTGATTCTGTTCTGATATATTCTTCGAGCATGATGAGGCCCCGTCCACACCTATCCGGATTCATTTCTCCGTCCACACGTATCCGCCCACCGTAACCGCAACCTTTTGAAAACGGTCTCCAGGGTGGAAACTTTGGCAAACGAATTCGGATACGTGTGAACGGGGCCTTGGTTGCTGAACGTGATGAGGTTTCGCACGCTTCAGTCATGACAGTCTTCAATGAGCAGTCTCAACATGCGCACGGAGCGCTAAAGTAAAAGAAAGGTCCGTTAAACAATTGTTTTAAAATGAGAATACGCCAGGTTTTAAGTGTGTAGTGACAAAGGATCAATAAGAGATGATCCTTACTGGATCTCTAGGAAGAACAGTTTAGAACTGATGAAGCCATCCAGTATAAATATAGTTTAGTTTAGGTTTCCTCCTGTAATAACACTGGAACAATAATAGACGACCCTGGACCTCTACGAAGAACAATATAGTTTAGTTTAGGTTTCCTCCTGTAATAACACTGGATCAATAAGAGATGATCCTTACTGGACCTCTATGGAGAACAGTTTAGAACTGATAGAGCTATCCAGTATAAACAAAGTTAGTTTAGTTTAGGTTTCCTCCTGTAGTAACACTGGATCAATAAGATTGGTTCTGCTGGATCTCTATACGAACACCACTTTAGAACTGATAGAGCTATCCAGTACAATGTTTACCAACTCATCAATTATTGAGTACGAGATATGCTTGTGCTATATTCTTGTATGACCAATGGTAATATTGGATAAATTCCGTCCAAGACTACTAACCTGCCACTGCTGTTACATTGTCCTTTACAACAATAATCGCAAGCATCACACGGACAATCAATAGTGCCTGGTATACAATATGGTGATACCAATATATACCCTGACCATTTATTTGACCGTTTCACTCTTTGGACATTTTGCTTTTTTCGTCTGGATTTAACAAGAACACTATTCAATAGATCTGCAACCACGTTTTTTGACACAGAACTTCTAGCCTCTATTTCATTTGTCTGCGAAGAGAGTAGAAAATTCATAAACATTCGTGAAAGAAGTGATGTTTCCAAAGTATAATTGGTATGATTTGAGCCTCAGAGAGTTTTGTTAGTTTGTTAGGTGGTAATGTTGCTATTTGCGGTTGTGGCTAGATGCTTAGCTAATATTTGATAGCGAAACAATGTACAACTTATACTTAAAAGGCAGTGCAGCTAAACTTTGTACGTCCAGAACCCCGGGTATAGGTCTCACCAATTGTGAATTTTTACGAACATCTTCACCTAAAGTTCTCTACCTCGTATTCTGCGGAGATGACTCAACTTCTCCAAAGCAACGACTCAGCACGAATTGTGATTAGAAAAAAATAAGGGTGGGTCAATATGCGTAGGTTGGTTCTATTTCACGCCAACACTAGCTGCAAAAGAATGACAAAAGCCAACGGGAAGACTCAACACGAATACTAAATATGCAGGGTACAACACAAACACTCATTCCTACGTGCGTAAGTTGACCCGCAGCGGAATGCAATTGCGCACAACACGTTAACCCTGCACATTGTGCGCAAAATCTTCCCAAACTTTGAGTCAGCAAATAGACCACGTAGAGAAAATATTTCGAGGAAGTTTTTACGACATCCTTTTGGAACATTCCCAATCTTATTGCGTCCTAGTGATCATGTTAGAAATGGATGTGATGCGCATGTTGAACGCCTGACACAAATCTTAAAATTTTATCAAAGGAATAGCTAGACCTTTCCCCTTATGAGTGAAATTTTGATCTAGACACGCCTGGACAAAAATTTCATCACAGCTTGAAAAAGCATCACAAAATTAGTAATATTCCGAAGTTTCGTTGCGAAATGTTGTAAAATGCGGATAATATACAGCCTTGCGAAGTTTGCTGTTTTTCAGTCATTTTGCATTACAAACGGGAAATTGATAATCAGATGATCAAACTGATCATCAATTTCCCATTTGTAATACAAAATGACTGAAAAACGGCAAACTTCGCAAGGCTATATTATCCGCATTTTACAACATTTCGCAACGAAACTTCGGAATATTACTACATTTGTGATGCTTTTTCAAGCTGTGATGAAATTTTTGTCCAGACTTGTCCAGATCAAAATTTCACTCAAAAGGGGAAAGGTCTATTGGAACTCGTGCATGTATACCCCTATTGCTTCAGGGAAAATTGGTTGGGTCTTATGCTAAATTAACTACTTTCTTTGTCTAATGGCTGATAAATCTATTACAACAGAACAGGGATTCAATTAAGGGATTAAGGGTCACCTTAACTATATATAGCCTCCCATTTTCTATGATATGGCACAATGTACCGACAAATAATTTCAATTTGATGAGAGATATGATATGATACCCCCAGGTAAATATATTATACACCAGAACAAGCTAGTTTGTTCGAAACTCAGATGTGATTCAAAAGAACAAGACTTGACACAACTTCGTTATAGACTTGGAGAGTGTAATATATATAATCCCACAGCGGCCAACAAGCAGTTAAAGAGAAATGTGAACGTTGAAATATATTACCGTAGCATCACGACAACGATATGTACCGAGTTTTGCTCGTATGAATATTAATGACTATCTGAAATATTTGGATGATGTGAAGCATTGCGAGAGTAGTATATTGTTTATGTCATTTTATGTGACCGTTTTTGACCTGTTTTCAACACATATAAGTAGCAAAAAATAATGGGTTGTAATATACACTGCATTCGCAAAAAAGAGAAAAATTGCTTTCTTTTGGCTCTTTTGTTTTTCACGCGACCATTGCAATGGCATTAATTCACATTATTGTTTTGTGTGAAGAACTGAAATTGATGGCTTTCACCAAAGCTCCAGTTCGATAAGTGGACTAAACCAAAAAAATTCATTAGAGTCTCATTAGAATCTCATTATTTGACTTCCATCTGCTTTTGTGGTAAGTCTCGTGGGATTGCTTGATAATAGTGGTTTCTATACCTTCTTCCGTTTTGGAAGACCACATCCAATAAAACCAAAAGGAGTGATTTCATAACTACATACCAAGCCTATTACCACAGCTGCATGTATGTGGATTGAAAGGAATACAACTATATTTGAAAATGCTTATATTTTCAAGTAGTTCCCATTATCTTGTCATCGTCGCCACATGCACTGGCACAGATCGTCAAGCCTATCATTATTAAATTAGGTTAGAGTGTCTTGCAAGGTGACTGTATAGCAATAGAGAGCCAAATTCTGTGAACTTTAACATTTTAAAGATGCATGCACATTAAATCTATTTTCAGCCAACTCGTTTGGAAAATATGTTGCCTGTAGGCAGTTGGCTTATATAGTGGCAGTCACGTACAGGGTTGCCAGATTGCTGAATATATAAGCCAAACATTGTTATAAGCGGGCCTTTGATGCTTTGTTTCCAACAGAGAAAACAAAAGATTATTGTAATAATATTTGTATAATATTCAGCAATCTGGCAAACCTGGTCACGTACGGTATATGATAGCTCTCTGTGTTAAATCATGTCCTCTATTTATGAATTGGTTAGGCTGGTGGTCTTTTGCAACCTAAATTTTAGCCTGTGCACACGAATCTAAATTAAGATAGGCGTTTAGCTTTAATTACACTGAGGATTGATCAGACGTACGCCCGCATCATAGAATTTTCTTGCCGGCAACAAAATGTCTCATTAAAAAATCAATATCTCACTCAAGATCTGTCGATTAGAAAAATCTTGGTATATGTGAATCTGGATTGAATTTAATTCCCTTTTGCCTTCCACAACCTGCTTAGACAAGCTTGAACAGTCTGCGTCAGTGTAGGTATAGGGGTATATAACTTCCTCAAGGCAATCCACTTTGCCCGCGTGGTTACCATGCATGCAGCTATGCACATCATATCTTTTTTTATATAAAAAAAACAACGAGGTATGTTTTATAACACCATGATCTAATTCAACTGACAACAGTATCTCTGCTGGAAAAGAGCTGAAAACAAGTTTATAAACATGCAGGTCTCAATAAAATAGCCTGTGCCCAAGGAAAAGGTCAAGAAAAAAGGTCTGGTTTAAAAAAATAAGAAAAAGATCTGGTTTAAGTCGGGACGAAATTAGCCATAGTACTAGAAAAAGATTTTTATATACGCAAATTCAAAGTTTGCATGACTGTTTCAACTGAGATCATTGAGGACAAAACTGTACCGTCATCAGAAAACAGCACGCCTTGTTGTCATAAAGGCGACAAACGTCTTTCAATCAAGTCTTTTTCAATGTTATATTCATGGATGCATAAATACGGGATCAAGCATTTTAGAAGTTATACCCTGCACATAAAATCGTTTTTATAATTTTAAAACCTCTCACATTACGCAAAAAATATCTGGGAAAAATTATTGTCAGAATGCGATTTTTTAATGTTTTTTTTAAATAGATCGAAAATCCCAATTATGCGCGAGCTTATTTTTAGATATATATTGCGACATTTGTCAGTCGATCACGTTTTAGCAACCAACTTTGTTTTATCATTCATTGAAGTGATGATGAATTAGATGATATATGGAGAGACAAGACTATAAATATGCAATATTCCTATATATGAAATCCCAGTGTTATTATGTTGAGGTATCCATTCTTGGGACTCAATACAAGCAACGTGATATAAGTAAATAGAAGTATTTCGTGATTTTCAAAAATATTGAAGAAAAAGAACAATATGCAGATATCGCCGTTCCCTTAAATAAAGATTACGGAGTTCATTAATAGACGTACCTTTGAATCTTAAAATCCTGCTGGCTCGATATGAAAGCAAAGAAAATAATTTGCCAAATTTTCCTGCTGCTTAATTGATCTCTGTGGTTTGGGAATGAGTCATGCATCACAATAAGTCATGAGAGTTATTGGTGGTCAATATTGGCTTCAGTTGCCATTAATCATGTATTGATGTAATATGATGTTTGTGATGTTACTCTGAGTGTATATCCACACCGGGCAAGCACTCAGAGTAACATCACAAACATCACATTTACCTGAGTACATAACACCAACACAGAATTAATCATTATGTTTTCAATTTTGTTTTACAGACATTACACTATATTGGCCGAAACTGTATTTACGTCGAGTTTCTCTTCAATACAACATGAAATTCGTTTTATATATCGTGCATTACACTTGAATTTGTTGACTGTATTCGCTGTAAAAAGTGAAGAATTTAAACCCAAACTTGGCTCGTTTTATAGCACATTTCTCGATTCACCATCGATAGTTAGTCTTTTTACATCTTTTGAATGTAAAAAAATGTGTGTTGCCCGTGATAATCTTATCATATGTGCTCTGTCTGTTATGTCAAAACATTTGAAAATGGAACATTTTTTAACATTTTTCTCGAATATATACTCATGGTTACTATATCTTTAGCGATGGCAAGGGCAAATGCACAAATATTAAACTACGATTTTTGACAAGGGAGCAAGTTTTTCAATTCGGGCATGGGTCAGATATAGTCTTAACAGGTCATCAAATTAAACATTAGCTATTTTTATGCACAGCCTGCAACTGTTAGCACCATAATTGGTTCCACATATTTAAATTTGTCATTTTTATGCGTCAGAGTTGTTAAAGGTTAGTTGGATATGTAACATTATAGAATATGTAGCAGTTTCCTATAAGATTTGATAGAAAAAAGACAAATGAAGAATATTACAGAAACAAGGAGGATGATTTAAACATACCATTCTTTCTGGAACTGCTTTTGAATTCACGAGAACAAGAAGACATACGAGCAGAAGTGTCTGTATATATTTTACCATCTTTAGCAGATTGTGGTGAACTTCTTCAGCTTCAACCTCTAACTCCTGGACAAAATGTGCAATGTACTATGTTCTTCAGAGCAAGCTAGCTCACTTTTATATCCACCACCGGAAACTCTGATGATGTCACTGTGGAATGGTATTTAAGAGCTCTTATTGGAAGGTTCTCCGAACGGCCTTCGAGAAGTTACGAGCGTGTACGATCGTACGTGTGTCGTGTGATGGTAGCCTCTGGTAAATTGCTGGACTGAAGACATGCCTGCTACGGGCAACAATATATGCAATATGACATCTGAATGTTTAAGGTGATGCATTTATAACTGGGATCCTTGCGAGTTTAGTGTTCCTCAATATTGTAGCCAGTTCCTCACTATACGCAATACCTTCTTCAAAGGTTCTTATACACTTCACCTTCAGCGAGTTATAAGAGCAGTTGTTTACATTTATTATATATTTACTCTACAATTTATAGAGCAGTTATAAGAGCAGTTATTTATATTTATTATATATTTACTCTACGTCTTTTCTCTACAATTTGCTTGAATTTGCGTTGGAAGAAAATGGTAAACCGCAAAGGTATGTTACCCCCATCTTCAAAAGATGAGGCACAAAGAAATGTGGCATAAATAAGGACGGAGGAGGGTAGGCTGGTTGAATCGGCTTTAAAATTTAACCATATAGCGTTTTCTTTGGCGTGAAAATCATTCGATTCCCTGGGTGGTCACAAGACAGCTACATTTCTGCACGACACATACATGGAACAGGATTAAAGCAAAGTAGTGGTAACATTAGATTATATAAACTTTCAAACACTCATTAATAATGCATAAGCTTATAGGCAAATCATGTCAACCAATATATGTCACGTGCAGTGACTTTAAACCTGATAAAACACTCTTAATTTGTATTCTTTATATAAAGAATACTAATAAGGCAGTATATATTGTGGTCGTGTCCTCATTAGCATTCTTTATATAAAGAATACTATAATAAGACAGTCTATTGAATTTGTAGACGTAAACCTAATAAAACACTCCTGCTCGTTTATTAAACAGTACATAATTATATACGACGAGTACAATGTTTATATATAGTTTAGACAAGAAATACACGATTAGTAATTCGGGCATGTTATCGAGTAAAACCGTGCAAAAGTTGGGCATTTTAATCTATGATATCCTAATAAGAACTTAGGACGATTTACATGAGCTGCAAGGATAGTCGCCATGGAAAGTCTCCTGGGTATGTTAAACCTTGAGGTAATCTCCAAGAATAACAAGTGAATTTGGCGAAAAATCAAATAAGCAACAAGCCTGTGCGTCATCGAGCACGGCTTTACACTCTTAGTAAAACGAGAAAGCTATGAACTACAGTTATTAGAAAGCGATGACGGCTTATAATACATAATTCATAGTATTGTAGAGTGAAAAACGAACATATATACTGCACAATTAAAATCTCATTGGAGTTGTCCTCTTCCATTCAAATATCACGTCGTGTTCGCTGTTTTAACAATGGATGAAAAACCACAAGCCGACAGGATTATCATGCCTTGTGAACAATGGCTACATTTCAAGACGTATTAGAAGACAGTTATCATTTGGTTCAACGAGTTTGGGGCTGTTCACATGAGGCTGGCCCGGATAACCGGGATTATTTGTTAAGGAAATTGCTAGATATATTTGTTAAAGCTCTTTTATCATGCAGGGCTTTAATAAACATCCAAAATGGCATTTCAAAGTTGAACAGACAATAGCTTGAAATCGAGGCGCACAATGTTGTCCATTGTAAATAGTTGTCATTGACAGTCAGTGTCGGAAAGTGTCTATTAGCTAAGTTTGATTCCAGCTACAATATAAAATGTATTCATACGATCTATACAAACAGGCCCTCGTCGACATCGCGTGGCCATCCTATATGCATGCTTAAGATTCCTAATAATAGAAGATCCCTAATCCTTTGGAACAATAATGTTATCCAACACTGTTGAACCTTATGTCGCCTCTTGTATTTCTCAAATTTTGAGTTTCAACATTGCGATATGTTTCGTGCTTTCAGCGAGGTGCTACAGGGAGCGAAATCACGTGCACATATCATTTACCCGCCGTCATCGCTATTCAGGCATTTCACAGTTGGGAAACTACGAAATTGCCCCCACCCTTTTACGTTTGTTTTTGTATAAATCTCAAACACTGCGTAATGTACGTGTATTCTATGCATGCAACAACCTGGCGTGCTCTGTTAGTTTCAGGGAGTTCATTTCACTCCCAATATAGGGCTACTTTGACCGAAAAAATAACTAAGAATAAAATTAGGTCCAAAGTAACTCCGGTGGAGTTAAATGAACCATCCTCAGAGATACGAAAAACCAATAATAATATGAAATTGGAGTATGAAATACGACATTGGAATATGAATTGGAGTATGAAATATGAAACATTGTAGGAAGCTAATATTCTACAATAACTTCCTGTTTTCTCGAAAGTCCTTCCCACAAGGGTAAAAAACAGATCAACATATTCCTTCGATACGTGACTTACGTTGAATAACATCCAGGGTGTTAGCTACAGTCAAAAATTCCGCTTTAAACGCGGTTTTCCCAATTATCTTGAGGTCGCAATTTCCCAATTTGGGTCAGCCAAAAAATAGTTATAGAAATTCAACAGCTGGGCATTCTGTTGTCGCTGTCTAAATATTGCGGGCGCATTTCTTTAACAAACATTTTGATTCTTCGAACGCTGAAAATATGCATTGTGAGAGGATTTTTTGTCCTCTTTTACTGGTTTGTTCATGGAAAATAAAGTGTTTCTTGAAAGATTAAGTTGTAGTGCTTGTACGCAACGATATAACGACTTAATCGCATGAAAACGTGCGAAGAATTTTTATTTACAAATGGGCGACAAGTGGAAATGTTTCACTCATTGTCAGAGTTTCAGAAGCAGGGTACAGCAGTATGGAAACAAGGAAGTGTTCATATTTTACTCTTGATTGAAGCTGAGTTGTTGTTGTTTCCACAGGTATGTTCAATAATTTGTTTGTCCTTCCTCATCTGGAATAATAAGTGTCTTAAAATACATATTTTGATGAAAATGACACATATTCCTCTTGCAATTTCGTAAAAACTGGCCGTTGCCTTTAGTTAGAAAATATATTTTATGAAAGTTAAATCATACTTTGTTTTATTAAAACCTGAGCTATTCATGGGAAAAATGTGCTAGATGTTGTAATTGACAAATCCACTTGTGAAGTGAAAATGTCATGTTGTCACATGCTTATGAAATTGCTCCTGTATTGGTTTGTTATAAAGTAAAAATTGCTGCAAAAATGCTTTTGAAAATGTTCAAGTATTGGTTGTTATGAGATAGGAAGTGCCGTATTGATTTGTTCAGTTTTAAGAGTCTAACGGCAATCCTGAATATAGGCATGCTTGCTTTGTGAAATTCTGTGGTGATATGGCATATAAATAAAAATATCTTAAAATTTTTACCATTGCCTCTCTCCGAAATATGGCTTAAAACTATCCTTATTAGTCAACCTTCATGGAAAAGTTAGTGGGTATGCTGGGAAAAATGCGCGCGGCACTTTTTTTGGACACTGAAGATGGTAACATTTGATGTTGTCATATATTGCCATCCTCTTATCATAGCATAAGCTTAACTTATTTTAGTGAGTTTGTTAAAGCATTGTGCTCACTATATGCCTGTAGTATCTAAGACTTTTTCATAGCATTATATGACAAATTTAAGTTCTGTTTTCTTTTATTTTTAGGTGATAGTATCTGTTCACTTGAGTGTTGGTATCAAATTTTGGACAAGTTTCAATTATTATTTCACATTCCTTTATTCAAATATCCAAATAAATGGAATATGACATCAAACTGGACGACTAGATTCTGTTTCCAAACTTGTTTTTGTAAAAATAGAAAATAACAACTTATTATGTGTTGTTCTAATAAAAACTATTGTTTTTGATATGCATATTTAATTTTTAAAATTACAGTCATTCTTTGCTAAAATGTGTACCAGGAATACTGAAATCTTTCAGATCAGCTACCAATTCCCTTTATAACTTATGTAGCCAAGTGTTCTATCAATTTCTGTTCAGATTAAACAAATGATGGGTAAAATATTAGTTTAGATTCTTTCAAAAAAAAATGAGCTTGCCTATTTTGAAAGCATAAAAAGCAATAAAATAAAGCAAAAGTACTTATTTTTAATTTAAAACCTTTGGACTGCATAGCTTAATGTTTTCCACTAAATATTACAAAGTTTTTATTCATTGAAATGTTGTTTTATCAGCTTTAAAACCAGATAAATCCACGAAGCACTCCTATAAATATGTCGCCATATTGATTTTTTCGCGCATGCTCCGTACAAAATGCCCAGCTGTTATAGAAATTCAATGTTGTTAATACAACACCGCGGAAAAACGTCTGCGCATGCACCAAATTATGAAAATATGGCGGGGAATTTGAATATCAATTTCTAAAACAAAAACATGCTTATTAATTGGTCAAAATTAGTAAAACAAACGAGAAAATATAGCAAATGGGTAGACTAGACATTAATTGAAAGCGTCCTGGCTTTTAAAGTATGGAATGAAATATAATTCATGTAAAAAATTGTTGATTTTAACGGACACGACTTCGAAAATATTTGCAAAATTATTCAAAACAAAAATTCAAACTCAAAAGTTAAGAAAACTCTCGAAAAGTGAAGCTTCTTAACCCACTCAAATTGTAGAATAAATCCTAAAGTTTAATTATTGTGAACACGAAAATTTTTTATATTTGGCGACACAGTTTTTTTTAAAGAAATGTATCTCAAACGAAAATTTGGAAATTGTCGTTGCTTAGTTGATAAACAAAATGTTTCACACGATAAATTTGTCAACAATCACCTTTAATTCATGTTCTTGTACAATACAATTTCTTGAATCTTCTGGCTGTATTTATTCCTAGTTTTTAGAATGACATGTTTATTTTTGCGCTCGAAATCTGGCTGTAAAGACGCACAATGAAGTCACTCCTTTTTACCGCCATTTTGAGCCTTCGGAAACGTTCGGAACAGCTTCTCATCAAGTTCGCAATACTATTACAGGTAAGGTTGACGCATGCGCAGACGTTTTTCCGCGGTGTTTGTTAATACGCCATTACAAACATGTTAGAAACTACATTGGCTCAAAAGTACTCCCAAAATGCGGGAAATGCCATTTCAAAGACACAAAAATTTTAAAAATCGAGAGGGGGCAACCGCATGCCCCCAGACCCCCACAAAGAAATGCCCGGCTTCAGGCCAAAATAAATTTCCCAATTTCAGGTAAACGCGGATTTTTTTTTACTTCTGGCTAACACCCTGATATCCTATGGATCAGAAATTGTTTTCTTGATGGAGAATTTGCAAATCATTGCCATTGGGTCCGAAGTATTATTATTCGATTTTAATTGATTTTTAATCGAAAAAAGGTGTGCATGCACTGCAGTTTAATCCAAATATGGAAATGTATCGAAACCGATAACAGGGTTCGAAATAACGATTTGGAAATATGTCAAATTTTGTAGGCTGTTTTTTAAAGGTCAAAATTTTTGCCGGCTATTTTCCAAGCGAAGTTTTTGGTTATGTTTTGGAGTGGCCATGGCCATAGGCCATGTAATAGTGATGTAAACCAACACAACATATTTTGTAAGAACACAGTAATACATTTTATTTGGTGTAGGGACGAACATTAACAAGTTCTGTGCATATATGTACGTGTTATTGTAAGCGAGTCATCGGTGAATAAATATAATATTTTTGCCGATTCCCTTTTCTTTGAAATTAAAAATCGCCGGCAAGGTCCTAAAACAGCCGGCTATCGCCGGAAGCCGGCGTCTATTTCGAACCCTGCGATAACTCGTTCATTCATTGCAACTGTGCATTTTATATAATTGACCATAAAAGCTTACAAGCGTGCCAGTCGATGTGGAGGAAATTATGTTAAATACAAATGACTGAATGGGACATTTTGCGGTTGCAGAAAATAAAACGCACGTGTTTGAATGAAAAAACTCTTATCATTATTACCAAGCAAGCTTTAAAAACTTCCCAGCATTTACAGCTGTATAGTATTACACTGATAATTATTTACTTAAAAGGCTCCAAAATTGACATATATCCTCGTTTACTACTAAACAACATGTTATGTTTTGCAATTAATTATGTACCAGGCAATAATGGACGGAAATACTCAATACACCGCAAAAACGAAGGGTTCTACTTTACCTACAGACTTAAATACTTTTCTCTACGAAGAAGTTCAAAAGAAAAACAAAAGCTTAGACGTAAATCTCAATCAATCCCAGAAAATTCTGAGAAAGTGTACAAAATTTCAATTTGCGAGCCTTATTGTCGAAGCACAAATATCACATGACCGGAAATGGCAATTTATTCAACAAGTCAACCTCGTACCCAGGCCTTTGCGCGGTTCAGACTCCTTTACCAGAGCCTCCGAACCGCGCAAAGGCCCTGGGTACGAAGTTGGGATTAAGTTTGGTTTAACAAAATACGTTCTCCAAGAGTCTTCGTTGTGACATGGTGGATTGTTGAAAACCTATTTTACTCCGAGATGACGTCAACTTTATATAGTCTAGATAAAAACTAGTTCGAGCTATGCGTTATTCTATGAGATGCGTACGTGCTCGTGGATAACGCTTGCCAGGTTTTCCTTAAGGTTCCTTCACAAGTTTCCTTTCTCGTGTTGGCACGGGATGTTATTAAACATTTATTTCACGGCAAGACCGCGTTTTGTTTGCCAAAACCACAGAAGTATTTCTTGGACACTTGTCAAGTTTTCCTTGGCGGTCGAACACACAAACAAATTTTCCTTCTCCAAAAACTGGCATGATTATGCATGGATCAATTCTTGTTGTTACCATCCCCCCCCCGGGAAACCCCCGGGATAATGCAGAAACTTTAATCCCGGGGGTGGGGAATTGTTAGAAAATTTTGTCCCGGGGGTTTCCCCGGGGTAAAAAGCAAAACTCGTATCCAGGACCATGTTTTGACCGCGTATCTAGCGGCTAGCGCATCCAGTGACATGTATATAGTTCAGTGAGCGCACGTCCAAAAGTTTTCAAAATGGCGACTACCTCGTGTTTGGCTATGGTTTGGCAGTTGTTTATATAATCGTGTTATAGTGACTATAGTTTATAATACCAAGTATTTAATCGGTATATATAAACGCACTTTTCAAATTTTACATATGTTTATACGAAGGATATTAAATGTGTGTTATAAACTGCTGATTGATATTTCTTATTTTTAGTTTTTTAGCGATACCCCGGGGTGGGGAATTGTCAAGTTTTAAAGGCCCGGGGGTGGGGAATTTACTACATTCTTGCAAAAAAAAATACAAATCCCGGGGGTATTGCCCGGGGGGGATGGTAACCGCTGGAATTGATCCATGCATTAGCTTTGGAAGACGGCTGCTTGGCAAAGGAAAAATTGTTAATCTTTTGCTGTTCTCATGAGCAAATAAAACTTGTCAAGAAAAACTTGTCAAAGACAAAGTGTACGGCGCTTAATAGTTTATAGTACTGTACATTATACATTGTACATTCGACTTGTACTTCAGACTTGTATTGCAGACGACAAGTACTAGCAGACAACGCACTGGACATTGTTTTACAGTATTGTACATACGATTACATCAACTCCAGATCATCCATTAAGTCATATCTTCGAAATTTATCCAAGTTGTAGAAACCAGCTTTGACCGTGCGACCTCCAAAATATCTGCCATTCAGGTCAATAATAGCTAGAACATGACGAAATATTTAATATCAGTATGACATAGTGTTTATGTTCTTCTTCGCGATATTTAAAGAGGGAATACAATAAATACCTGTCGAAGACAGTTTTGCATTATGTCATGACCTTTTTGGCGCTGCCATAGTCTTTTTCTGACAATAATTTGCACAATTCTTCGTTGTTTAAAGAAGCGAATCTACTATCAGCCATTTTGTTTTGGCTTTTAAAAATTCGCGCGCTTTTTAACAAAGCTGCCGTCAATCTCGTACCCAGAGCCATCGTTGAGTGGCTCTGGCCACACGAGTTGAGTTAATTAGAAAATACGGTAAAAGTACAGTATTTTCCAATTAACTATTTCGTACCCATTCTCCGGGAATCGCGCGTGCCATAGTATTTTCAAGAGGAGTGGAGAGCTAACTTTTTGCTGAAAATATCAATAAAATCGCAATTTTCCCGTCAAAAGCATTAAAATATGTTCGACGCAGTTAGTGTGAACAACAAGGATACTGAGTGCAGGTGTGATTTCCGTTTTACAAGTAATTTGAGATGATTGAAACACCGGCTTGTACACATGTCAAAACTCATCGAGTCATGGATCAAATATTGTGTCTCAAATGGCTTCTATTCCCTTCAAAATGTTCCGATTTCTTCTTAAGGTATAAGTACGTTTAATTATTTGTTATACAAAAGTAATTTAATAACTCTCAGCTTTATTAAATAGGCTATTCTTGAGCAAGAACGTTGCTTGTTGCACACTGCCTTGGTTACCTTTAAATATTCTTTAATTTGTTACAATTTATATTGTTGATGTCATCATTATGTTGTTTCAAGGTTAATTTTTGAATCTTGGGCTCTGAATTTCCATCCTAATTGTAGTCTATTTAGGATACCACAAAAGATATTGTGTACCCCCTAAAAATGGAGCATATTTTCAGAAATTCTATAGCATATCCTGTGAGCTGATCATACCCGGTATTTATTACTATTATACACGCATTATTATGAATCTATCATACCTAGGGAATTTAAAACCGAATATTATTCCTCATACAATGATAAAATAAAGATATTTTTCTCAATAAAGAAGGCCTGTACTGCTATAGCAATTGAGCAAAAGCCTGTAGCAGTATACCAGTGTGTGTTTAATGGTTGACTATTTTATAACTTTAGTATTACATTTCTTTCAGGTACACTTGGGACTGTACATATGATAATCTTTTTATTATGCCAATCTCGATGCCAATACCAGTACATCCAGAAACAATGGAAATCAGTTTCAAGTCAAAATTATACAGTTCTGTATTCTGGAACAGTAAACAGCTTGGCATGTTGCATTATAATGAAGAGTTTAATATAATGAAATACTAGAGAAAGGAATAGTATTGTTGAAGTGGCATTGCCCATTAGTTATGTGATAAAAAGTAGTTAGGTAAAGAACCAAGAATCACACCTGGCCTGATTAATAATAATGTCCTGAGCACTTGAATAAGTGTAATATCATTTATAATTTCATACGTGTATTGCTTGATACATTTTGATGTGTAGAATGACACATTATTGAAATCAGTAAAGGTTTTTCAGAACTTGCAATTTATTTTATGGTACCACTGGGAGGTGTGTGCAGGGCCCAGAGTAAAACTTTTCCAGGGGAACCATATGACATCATTAAGTTTTCCCAGGGGTCCCTATGACATCATAATTATTAAATGGGAGGTGTATTACAATATATTACACTTTACTGCATATTATCTGGCACTGACACAACTCTTTGTGCTTTGGAGGCCCCTTTTGAGCTGGGCTTTTGCCTGCATCCCTATTTTTGGCAGTCCTGAAATTGTTAAGGATGTGTGAAGTTATATGATAGGTTGCTTTTAGTAGTCATATTCTGAAAAAGTAAAGTTGTTCTTGTTGAGAATTGGACTTCAAATACAATTGTTAATTGTTGCACACTCAATTATCCATTACAAGAATGAACATCTGATATCTATATATAGTACTACCTGAAAAAAAAACAAGCAGAAATTTGATGTTTCGAGTGAAGGCCCTTTGTCAAGAGTTAGTAGCCAATGTCGAGTTTCTGCTTGTTTTTTTCAGGTAGTATTACTATATAACCACTCAGCACAGCAAGACTGTGGAATAGTTGACAATCATTTATTTACCAGTTTTAGTGGAACCATTGTATAAATTGTGTAGATGGTTTCATATTATTACATACCGTATGTAGTACATACTGCTATTGTTAAAGACCATGTAAAGTCTGTTCTGCGCATGCATTCTGCAAGCCTGCATTCCAATGATCGGGAACCGACCATTGGAATGCTATTAATATTTTGCACCTTCGAAACTTTCTAGAAATGAATCTCTGGTCTGTATTCATTTACAAACATAGCAAACCAGAAGAATTAAAATTCAGCATAATATATATTATATATATCTAATATAGCACTGGGTTCAGAATGTAAACAAAGGGTTTGTTTACACAATTACATACTTTACATGGCCTTTAATGAAACCTTTTTTGGCTACTAACACCAATGTTTCTGACAGAGTTGTACAGGTAATACTGTAAACAGAAACAATATATTATATCATCAAACAATTCTATCAAACAAGTTGCAAAAGAATCCAAATGCTGTTTCAGCTGTTTAATTGTCACATTCAAACCATGATGATTCATACATTTACAGTTCAATTAAAAAATCCCAAATCTTGTATAAACACAGTCCTAGCATACGTGTACGCTTGTAAGTCTTGTACGCTTGAATTTCTTTTCAATAATAACACTCCAATATAGTAGATCAAGGATATATGCCATCATTCCCATCAATATACTCACTCAGAGTGAACCAAGAGTATGAATTATTACCATAACGAAGTCTGTTATTTTGCCCAAATGAATTAAAGTATGCATAAATCAACCCCTTAATCCCTTCGCCACTTTTTCGGACGAAAAGCAACAAAAAATTCGTCGAAATAAGCAAATTTTCAGGCAAAATATTAGCAAATATATCGTATTCACTCATATTGGCCGCGCACGTGAACGCTACAGGGGGTATGGGTCCAATAACTTATGGATCGACCAATCAGGATCGTTTTTCAATCCCGTGTGGCCAGAGCCACTCAACGATGGCTCTGGGTACGAGATTGAGCTGCCGTCCGCGCTGGATCAAGCTGGGGCCTGGACTCTACAACGTAAATCATATTAGCCCGCAAACAGCCCCACCTGAAATTTACCCAAATCCACAGGCTCAAAAAGAGCGGGAAAATTCAAGTCATTTGGAAATTCTCAAAAAAACTCAAACAAGAAAATGTCCGAGGTGGGAACTTTCTCAAACACGAAGTAAACTACGGCAGTAAGTTTCTTTATTTTTTTTTTACTATTTTAAACATGTTTGACAAGTAAATAATGTCAGTTTCGTCTACAGTTATGTGGTGACATTCTTAGATAGTTTTAAATTAGGTAATTTGCAACTTATGTCGCCAAATTGTGTGTTATGTTTAATGTTTTATTCATATTATAAATTACGTCGAAACACGTATTAAGTGTTAAATGAATTGGGTAAATGCCGGCATTTTAAACGTTTATTCGTGTCATAAACACAGTTAAATTGATTATTATTACCACGTAATGTCGAAAATATTCGAATGTGTTTGTGTTTACAATCATTCCAGTCTGAATTCATGTCGGTCTGAAGTCAGTCGGCTCGGTCCAGCAGACGGAATGACTTGAGACCATTGAACTATAAGTAAACTTATAGTTTACTTATAGTTCAATGCTTGAGACCGGACTGACTTTTCGTCCAGGTCTCATGTAAACATCTATTATAAATAATACTATGACCGAAACGAAATGGTCCCGGTTTGACTTCGTTCCGGTTTCATGTAAACGGGGCTTTAGTTGAATTCCTTTCAATGTTTTATTCCAGCTATAGACCAAATTTTGATCCAGACAAGAAAGATGAAATCTATCTTTATAGCTTAAAAGAACATTCTTAAATTAGTAAAACTGCAAAATTTGGTTGCCAGATATTGTAAAATACGGAAAATATAGCCCTGTGAAATTAGCAAATTTTGAGTATTTTAGTATTACGAGCGGAAAAAGGCATTTTTGAGCCGAAAGTGGTGCATTTTTCCGCGCATAATATATACTAAAATACTCAAAATTTGCTAATTTCACAGGGCTATATTTTCCGTATTTTACACCATTTCGCAACCAAACTTTGCAATTTTACTAATTTTAGGATGCTCTTTTGAGCCATAAAGATAGATTTCGTCTTTCTTTCTAGATAAAAAATTAGTCGATGACTGGAATCATTCATCCGCAGCTCACTGGTGTTATTATCACCATATACTGTACCCTAGCACAAATCGTTTGAGCTTCAATAGTTTTACCTCAACTATTTTCAAAAGTAAAACGGGTTAATCACCTTTAATTGCCGAATCCATTTTCTTAAATTCGACAAAAATTCGAACCGCTTCGTCGTCAGCCACTCCCTCGGGAATCTGTAGAAAAAATATGAAAAATTATTAACAAGAAATGCCATGATGTTTGTGATGTTACTCTGAGTGTGCATCCACACCGGGCAAGCTGAAAAGTTTGCCTGACCACTGTGGGAATCGAACCCGCGACCTTTGGGATACTAGTCCAATGCTCTGCCAACTGAGCTACGAGGTCAAGTCAGTTTGAGTGATGATATTTTGGAACTGAGTCTAGTTCCTTCGATATCAATGTATTCTACGATATGCTACTTATTTTTTTACATAACATCAACACACACAAAAAAGTAACAAATGCCATGTTTCGTTTTCCAGTAGGACATAATAAATTACAGTGTAGTACAAATAAATAAAATGTTACAATTACCTCATAAATAACAACTTTTTGAACTTCGCCATATTTGCTACATTCCTCCGCTGTCTCCGGTTCCAGCTCGTCGTCTACTTCACCTGGGCCAACCATGTTCTGTAAAGCATTAGACATGAAAAATGTATTATTCAGGATGAATCCAGCATTTTTTCCTGTAGGTACAACTTACACGTAATAAGATGACTTTGCTTGGATTTTTCATTTTGCCAACAAGAGATTCATTTTCCTGAAGCTGTGATAACTCTTGAAAAAATGGAAATTTATCAATATTTTGATAGTTTACAAATCAATCATATGGAAATTCAAGCCATTCAGTTGAATTTCGCGCTAATGTATACCAACTTTATTTTTTTATTCTGTCTAACTTTTGGTTACAAAACCAGTACAGTCATAAACAATTCAAATTTAACACATGGGTTATACAGTACATGAAAATTTAAAACGTTCACATTACCTTTCTCCTGGTTGATAATCTTCCCACCTCTCTTGCTTGTCTTTTCCACTTGTAAACACTGATTGATTCCTTGCTCCTGTTTTCCTAGACCTGGAATTGTTCAAGAGTTCATGTTACCTTTCATTATTTAATAATGGCAATATGACCATTTAGGAATTTACCAAATTAACAAACCTTGCCCATCTTTCCATCCATATTTTGCCATGATGTTAGATGCAACTGGGCTACAACAGCAGAATGCAATCATTAAACAAAACGTTTACCCCCACCTCCTATAATTAGCCCCCAGACTTAAAAAATAAGTCCCTACCCTTTATTTAGCTCCACCTGCTAATGACCCCCAGTTAAGAACCACTTTTTCGCCTTAAATATCATGCAATATATAGCTTAACGTTTAGCCTACCAATGCTTTGGTGGTTGAAAAAGTATTGTTATGCACCTTTATTATGAAGTTATTCAGACATCATTTCAGAAGGGCTTTCAGAGATTATTTGGAGAGCAGTTTACAGTATGTTTTCAGACAGAACATATTGATTTCACTAGGCCATTGCTATCTATATTTTACCTGTCAAAGCCAACATCTGGTTTGTTAAATAAACTGGGTATTCCAGAAAATGGTTTATCTGTTAGAAGTAAATAATGAGATTTAATCCCAAGTAATCACTGATTTAACCCATTGAGTTGCATTGCACCCAAATACATGCCACCTGATTATTTTAATGCCAGACCATTCTACTTGTCAAGGGGAGAGTGCTCAATGGTTAAGCTACATTATTTGAACATAAAATACAGTACTGCAGTTCAAGCAACAATATGAAGTACTAACTATCCTCATCAGCATTGCTTGCAGCAATCAAAGAAACTGGAGGAGCAATGGCGGCGCCGCCTTTTCTTGCAAGAGATCTTGGTTCTTCATCATCATCACCACCATATCTCCGCCGTCTTCCACGAGTTCTGTAATCACCACGGTCCCTATCTCGACCTCGATCTCTGTACCTATTATCGAAAGAATTTGATGAAGTTTGTTCAAAAGCCTGCTTAAAGAATCAATGAAAAGTTTCAAAGCAATCTTGTCAAGAGGAGAGTATTGGTGCCCAATGGGTTAAGCTAACAAGCTTTGGAATAATCAGTCTGATCTATATATGCGTTTCTATTGTGAATGCTTTCTAACCTGTCGTCATAGTCCTTGTCTCTTTGACTCCTCTCCAGTTCTTTTTCACGTTGCTCCTTCTCTCGCTGTTTTTGTTTACATTCCTCATAATCATTTGGCCTCATTGGATCATACTCATCAACGACAACAGCCATTGATGCTTCAGTTTGAACAAATGGCTCCGAAGATGTCTGGAATAAGTAATAACATACAGATGCCATTTAATTTTGACAGAATATTGGCAGGTAACTTAACACTTTAGTTGCCAATGTGTCCTGATGTGTCCTACTTTATTATTTTACTCTGTCTAATACCAGACGATTTTACTCATCAAGAAGAGTGTGCTGCCACTCAATGGGTTAATCACATTATCTGCCCTGGATGCAATCTGTTAACCCTTTAAGTAGAAATGTACCCGGATGTGCCCTACTTTATTATTTTACTCTGTCTAATGCCAGACAATTTTACTCATCAAGGGGAAAGCCCTGGCTGCGAAAAAGCTGCCACTGGATTAACTCAACTTAACTCCATGACTCAAACCAATTTGCTACTCAAACAGGAAGTGACCTGTGACTCAATCTCACAAGGTCTTGTTACAACACTGTGCAAGCCAATACTTACATCAGGATCTTTATTTTCATCATTAGATGACAAAATATCCTGTTTAAAATAAAACAAAAATTATCAGATTATATGAAGAAAAAGGAGAAGTAAGAATACGGTTTCTCAAATGTGATATATTTCCTATTTACCTTGCTTGAATTGGCTTGTTTTGACAGTCCACTAGGACGGGAAGATTTCTAGATTGTTCAAAGAAAATATTTTGTATTTGGGGACTTAATCTGCTCCTCAATAGGCAATTCCAGCTTTTAGTTTATGTGTGCAGGGGGTGATGGGAAGTAAGGTATCATATTGCTGATTATGCTGAAAAAATAAAAATGGTGGCTGTGTAAATACTGACTGATAGCTTAAGCTTATACTTGTAAATATTGAAATATTTCGGTTGTTTTGGCAGTTTTTATTGACATTTTTCCGCATAATCAGCATGTACACCCCCTGCGCATGCGTAAACTAAAAGGTGGAATTGCCTATACTGTAAGCCATACATTCAATGTGTCACATACCAATTGTGATGGTGTTTTTCCTTGAGCAACTTTTTGTCGTTTCAGCTGCTGTTGCATAAAACTGAAGCTGCTTGACCACCCAGCTAAAATATTTTTAAAACTTTTGTTATACCAGATTTACTAAATATCTAGGAAAGCATTCTAATTTATATCTTGTTTATCTTATCTCAATATTGCATTTTTATCACATGATTGCTTTCATCTTCACTAGAATAATTTAAGCACAATGTGTTTTTCCTGACACATGCTGCTTACCTGCAGACAAAAAGGCTTTGCTCATAACAACAAGGTTTTTTTACCCCTTTAATGAATTAAGTATCAATATGCACCATGCATGCACCCTGAGGCACCCTACTTTACTAGGGAGTTTACAATCTACGAAGTGGTCGGCTCGAAGATGCACTTTCAAAACAAAGAAATTTGTCATGCTAGACAAAAACTGTGAATAATTTGTGGTCCCAGGGTATTCTCAACGGCATTGTCATGCTCAGCAAAATGTTAAACTAAGCATTATCATGTCTTTCAAGCAACGTGAAAGCTTATTACGACCCAAGAGGTGTTACTTGAAGTCGAAATTACAGCAAACATTGCATCGCTTTAGCTGAACGTAGCAGTTCGTAAGGCTATTTAAAAAAGGATCAAATATTTATGACAGTATTCAAATTGCTTAGCGCTCATTCTTGAGCTGAAATTTAGGCCCTGTCATTGAGCGTCGTACATCGTAAACTCTCTATTTAATTTATTCTATGGAACACCACATGATTTTATTTGTCATGGAGAGAGTGCTGCTAATCAATGGATTAATCAGACAATCTACCAATGCATCCTGTTAACCCTTTTAAGTGGCAATGTGCTGCCTGTACGAGATTCCTGTCGTGACACAGTGACAGATCCTGAGATCCCTTGGTTTGGGTCACTGCATAAATCTGTCATGGCATAAATCCAGCCACTACCTAGCATAAATCTGGCCACTTATATATTCAGATCAACTATGTCTGAATCATATATCTCCCCTCACACAAAATATAAGCATTTATGTACATTGATAGTAAAAATATCTATAATTATTTGTAAATATATAGATACAACGGTCAAAGTTAGTCAAAAATTCAAGGGTTTCTGCACTGCTAGGAAGACATTAAAACACATCCCAGGTAAACAAAACGACAATAAAAAAGACAAATCTAAAAATTTATCGATCGGATAAGAATTATACCTGTTTCAGATGAATTATTTTCTTTAAGTGGAACGCCATCTATATCATCATAAAGCGACATCATTATATCTTTACTTTGTATTACATGAAGTTCGAAGTTGAATACGTGTGTAGTGCTTGGGAGTCTGGGTTGGAGAAAGCTTTCGCTTAACCTCCAATTCGTACTGCCTCCAACCGCAGACCTGCGAACGGGCATGCTCGCAAAATAAGGCCGTATCCTCATGAGCACGCTTACATATGTGTATATACGAACGTGTTTATGAGTCTTATGAGACACCCAAATTTGGATGCTCATATAAGCACACCAATATGAGGCTCATATGAGATACCAAAATAAGGGCATATGCTTATAAGCACGCCAATATGAGGCTCATGAGATATACTAGCGTGTGTACGAGCTCATGTGTATACTAGCGTGCTTATGAGACACCCAGATATGGGATGCTCATAAGCACGCCAATATGAGGAGCATGAGATACAAAATAAGGGCGTATGCACATAAGCACGCTTACATATACGTACACTAGCGTGCTTATGAGACACCCAGATATGGGATGCTCATAAGCGCGCCAATTAATATGAGGCGCATGAGATACAAAATAAGGGAATATGCTCATAAGCACGCCAATATGAGGCTCATGAGATACAAAATAAGGCCGTATGCTCATAAGCACGCTTACATATATGTATACTAGCGTGCTTATGAGACACCCAGATATGAGATGCTCATAAGCACGCCAATATGAGGCTCGTGAGATACAAAATAAGCGCGTATGCTCATAAGCACGCTTACATATGTGTATACTAGCGTGCTTATGAGACACTCAGATATGAGATGCTCATAAGTACGCCAATATGAGGCTCGTGAGATACAAAATAAGCGCGTATGCTCATAAGCACGCTTACATATGTGTATACTAGCGTGCTTATGAGACACTCAGATATGAGATGCTCATAAGTACGCCAATATGAGGCTCGTGAGATACAAAATAAGCGCGTATGCTCATAAGCACGCTTACATATGTGTATACTAGCGTGCTTATGAGACACTCAGATATGAGATGCTCATAAGTACGCCAATATGAGGCTCGTGAGATACAAAATAAGCGCGTATGCTCATAAGCACGCTTACATATGTGTATACTAGCGTGCTTATGAGACACTCAGATATGAGATGCTCATAAGTACGCCAATATGAGGCTCGTGAGATACAAAATAAGCGCGTATGCTCATAAGCACGCTTACATATGTGTATACTAGCGTGCTTATGAGACACTCAGATATGAGATGCTCATAAGTACGCCAATATGAGGCTCGTGAGATACAAAATAAGCGCGTATGCTCATAAGCACGCTTACATATGTGTATACTAGCGTGCTTATGAGACACTCAGATATGAGATGCTCATAAGTACGCCAATATGAGGCTCGTGAGATACAAAATAAGCGCGTATGCTCATAAGCACGCTTACATATGTGTATACTAGCGTGCTTATGAGACACTCAGATATGAGATGCTCATAAGCACGCCAATATGAGGCTCATGAGATACAAAATAAGGGCGTATGCTCATAAGCACGCTTACATATGTGTATACTAGCGTGCTTATGAGA